TGGATAATTCCAATGTTCATGGGCATTTACTTTTATGCTGTGCGGTACAGTGATAGTTTTCTCATCTAGTGATCTTGCTGACCTACATTCAATTCCCACACCACCAGTGGATGGTACCCTTGGCCATTCCTTGCACACAGCAATTAAGAGGCAAAGTGAAACAGAAAATCTGTCACACCAAGAAAAACTGTTGTAACAAACTGAATAAAACTAAATTATTATCCTTATTACCTGAATTGTATTAAGAAATCAAGATACACAGGGTGTTCTTTGATATTTTTGAGCCCTTAAGGTTATATCATAGAGGATCAAAGAGGTACTGAAAAATTTTGAAGATATTCAAAAAACGAAGTCAATACTACATCATATGACTGAGACACATTGTAAATTCTTAACATGTTGTTTCAGCAACTGTCATATATAACAGTTGCTGAAACAAAATTAGAAGTCATGTATGACTTCTAATCTTACCCATAGAGAGTAAACATGTATTTGATGCACTGAAAAAAGGCAGAGAATCTATATATGGACCTTTATATAAGAATTTTGTATCAAGAAACATTTGATGCAATTCATAATTAATGAAATATAAATCCCTATCTGTGGCTTATGTGAAATAAGTCAAGGAATATCCCCCTCTGCTCAGCTGGCCAGAGTGTATCACACTGTATCAAGCAGAGGCATAAAATCTAAAAATATGCTCCAAGAGGTTCCAATAATGTGTGCACATAGGGCAAACATGTGTCAAGTGTATCAAAGTGTTATGGGTTTCAAAAATACTACAAAAAAGACCAAGTATAAACACACACCAAAAATGACGCAACTTCAAGGCTGTATACATTTATGTGATTTTGATATAATTCTTTTCCATGTAGGCATACTTTATCTATGGAAATACAAAACCAAGAACATAATATTCTTAAGAACAAAATCTGAAATATGCATATAAAATGACATTGTTATGATAACTGAACTTTTTTGCTCATAACCTGAAATTTTTCTCTCTCTATTGCAGATATTGATGGTATTACTGTCTAAGAAAGCAACCCCTGTCATGGATATGCCTCCATGCAAAAGTAGCTGGACCAGCTGACATTCACCAGTGCCTGGAGAACGCTTACGGCGCTGAGGCAGTGGACGTCAGCATTGTTAAAAGATGGGTTCATTAATTCAAGAGTGGCGACAGAGATGTGTGACAAAGCACGCTCCGGACACCTTTACACAGCTACCACGCCGGAAAATGAAGTGCATCTCAATTGACTAATCTGCACTAATCAGCAGATGCCGGTGAATTAAATGCATACAGAGTTTCCAGTGCACTGGAAACAATGTTGTCATCCCTAGGGTACAGCAAAGTGTATTCCAGGTGGGTTCCACAGATGCTCACACAGGAGCAAAACGACCACTGGCGGGATGTCAATCAGGATTTGTTGAACAAGTGCAAAGGTGAGGTATTCTTAGACTGCATCGTCACTGGTGACCAGATGTGGTGTCACCACTAAGAGCCGGAGTCCAAATGGTGGTCAATGGCATGACACCATTCACGCTCCCTAGTGAAGAAGTTCAAGACGCAGACATCAGCATGGTGTACATCAGCTTGCAAAGTGATGTGCACCATCTTCTGGGAGAGAAAGGGAGTCATTCTCTTGGATTTCTTAGAACCAGGGAAAACTTTCAACTCTGACTGTTACATAGAAACTTTGACCAAGCTGAGGGCCCAGATTGCCAGTATGAGGCCAGAGAAGGGGGAAACATTGTGTTTGCAACACAATAATGCCAGGCCACACACAAGTTTGAAGACCACAGAATATATGACAGAATTCAGCTGGAAGGTGCTGCCTCACCCACTGCATAGCCCCAATCTGACACCGTCAGACTTCCCCTTGTTTGGGTTTATGAAGGACAGATTACACATGCAGCATTTTCCTGACAGCAATACTGTTATCGATGATGTGAGGAAATGGGTCGCCTCAGCAGGTACACACTTTTACAAGCGAGGCATCAAGGCCCTTGGTCATCGCTGGCGAAAGTGCATTGAGAATAGTGGTGACTATGTGGACAAATAATTCTGGAGCAAAAATATCTGCTTGTTTTAATAGTGCCACTCCCATTTTCATAGTTCTTCAGATTTCGAGTAAAAAAATAGGAAACATTACTTTTGGAACAACCCTTGTATGTTATTTAACCCAGTCACGACGGGTGTCCCACATATGAGACACCTGAAAAAATAAACATTGCTGGGCGTCTCGCCAGTGTTACGCTATATTGGGGCTCGCGCTCCGACACAGCAGCGGGCTGCAGCTGGCGGGCGGACAGACTCCGGGGAAGCTCCACCCGCCGATTTTGTTGCCACTCGGAATCTTTTTTTTTTTTTTTTTTTTGGCTTCAAAATATACCAGCCTTATTGGGTTAAATAAGGTTACTGGTCACTAAATGTACTATATCTATATAAAAGATAGACAGGTTCACATCTATTGTTCTTTTGGATATCTCTGTAGGTCTAACGCAACTCTCTGTGCACAGGCTAGGTCCTAGTTATTGTTCAGCAGTTTCTTATAGCTCACTTCATGTCTTACCACTAAGCTATCATTACACAAAAATTGTTCAACATCCAGAAAATTTCATACTTTTTAAAATCTTATATAATGGAACTGTTGTGGAAAATCATACTTTTTCTACTTGTTTAATTATAAAAAAAATATCGGTTGGAGATAACTCACTGATTGTTTTTGCATCTTATAGAGTATAAAATTGTGCTTTGCCTCATATATAATTTTAACTTCATCCACCCATGAAGGGGGGCACCCCTCAAAAGTTGAAAAATTGATTTTTTTTTTTAGTTTTATGTAATTATATTTCCCGATTTATTCCAAAATTCAAAAATTGCCTATTTACATGGCCTCAGCGTTCCAATACTCTAGTGAAAGCAACAAACTGCGTTTGAATCGTACAAAAATTACGAGTTACAATGTACCAAAGGTAGTGTAAACAAAGAATGTAGATGGTGTTCTATATTTCAGACACTTGCCACTTTGTTATCCCTGTTATTTTTTGCTAAATCTAATGATGTTATACATAAAAAAAAGAAGAAGCTTATTTTGTATACTTTGCAATGCGATGATTACCAAGTGAATCGGAATTATCATTTTCAACAGGGACGCTATTCTGTAAAGGTATGTCTCGTTTTGTTTGTTGGATATAAAAATTGATATTTCTGTCTGAAAAATATAATAAATGCATTTGACATACAGGATTAAAATATATCAGTTATCCCTATCAAACTGTTTTCTTTGACAATCCTCAATAGTAACAGTTTGCAACGAGAAACGAGTGTAGACTTGGTGTTTAGTCATTTGCTCCCATTATCTCTGCTAAGAAGTGCATAAAATCATGCAGACACCTAGGTGTGGTTCGTCATTTGCGTATTTATGGTACCCAAGACCTACGGTAACGTAATATTTTCATCAGAAAAGCATGAAAAGGATGCGATAGCTGTTTCAACTCTAGACAAAGACTGCGCATACAAACAAGCTCAGAATTCCATATAGTTTTTATTTCAGAATGGGTATTACTGTATAATAACATCTTCAACATGAAATAATCGGTATCTCGCTTATATCTCCAAAGTTCAAAAATCTGACTTTTAGGTGCCCTAAAAAAAAAATAATAATAATAATAATAATAATAATTTAATCCTTATTTATACGGCAATTTCAAACATTAGTGCTTCATACTCAGCATACATACAGATCACTTCGTAAACTACAACATATTACCACGGAGTCTCGATGGAAGCATATTTCATGTGTAAAAGTGCACAAACTTACATTTTTTTTAGATACATTTCACAAAATATTTTGTCATAAATCACTGATATAATTTTTTTCTGATATTGGTATAAAAGTGTTCTTTGAACATTCACAAACTTGTATCTATGCACACTGTCATTATCAAATACCATATGCACGATTGCAACAAGCAAAAGTCCATCTAGGTGTACCCAGGCACATGATCAAGCATACCTTCTAATGTGTTGGCGGGTCTCATGTGCGCTGCCTGAGAACTAACCATAGCTGGGCTTTACTAGTCGTTTGGTAGTTTCCTCATTCATGTACCGATACAATACGCTAGCTAACTCAATCTAACCCAAAAATGTTTACACCCTCGGGACAGTTCCCTTAAACTGTAATTATATGCACCACGTGATTTTCCCTTATACCAATATTATAACCTGGAAGTAAGTGGGCAAGGCTAAATTTCAAAATATCACTCTGCACACTTGGCATCATCTGCCTGGCTCCCAAAATGGTTACTCCATATTTTGTAAATTCCTTTATATTCACTGCACATTTATCATATAAATCCTAAAAATGTTTCATATATTTTTTCTTATAGTTTGTCTTCTAATAAACTTCCATATATATCTTTGATATTTAAAACCTACAATTAAGGTTGAGAAGTTATTATTTTGCATATCATTTGAAGTAGCCTCCCTGCAACTTTCAGAAAGGAAATTTTACAATAACAACTTTCAAGAGCATAGTGGTGTAAGGACAAATTGTGTAGGAAAAGTTACAACAGAAATGCAGGTATTAAATCCCTTGTCAGCATACAATCTATAGTTTGAGTTAAGAGTTATACGATGTTACCAGCTGTAAGAAAACTGTTGGGAAGCACAGAACCTTGTGGAATAGACTATAGTTTCAGTATAATGATGAATGTTAAAAGTGTTTATTGTGATAAATGTATATATACTAATAAATAAGAATGAATACATTCACAGTGCAAGAGATGAATTTGATTAGTTTCAATTCTATCTTCATTGGAAATACAAGATGTATTTCCAACTTTGTTCTTTTACTGTTGAAAAGGGATTATTTCTTAAATCAGAAATACATCACATATTTCTCATGAAGATATAATCATAACTGGTCAAATACATCTCTTGCACTGTGAAGATATTCATTTTCATTCTTTTCTGCATTTCAATATCATACTAGGATTTAATTATAACACTGACACAAGGCCTTGATGATAATCCACCAGTCAAGAAGTGTGAAATCCATGTCATTATAAAAAGAAATCTTACATAATGATTTACTTATATTACTGACAATATCAATCAATGAACCTTGAGATAGATTCTGGTATCTAAAAAAGTGGCAAAGGTTATTATAAAAAAAATTAAGAAATTCAAAGTATATAATCAAACTACCTCATGAAATACAGCCCTTAAAAATATATATAATTATACTATTGTAGAAATGTCACCACCAAAACATTCCTTACCATGAAAAGTACCCATCAAGCTACTACATGAAATACAGCATATAAAACTTCAATAACAGCAGAGAACAAATTAACATCAGAGAACAAACCAACAGCAATGGAAAGAAGAGAAGTGGTCCCCATTCTATGCCAAAGATATAGTCACACCAAAATATTACGGGGCATAACTACAAACACTCAGAAACAAACAAATTTGTATTCTTTAATGATATATAGATCATATATCATTTTCATATCATTTCCACTGCTCAGCTAATTACAATACTGAACCTATAATATAGCCACAAGCTTTACCACCAAAATGAGATGAAGATAAGACAACAAATGGAAGAGGATTAGCTTCAACAAACTTACATGACCTTACAAAAAACATTCATACATACCAAAGGAGAAACAGGTCCAAAGGAGGCACTGAAGCGCCGCACCCGAGGCTGACTTCCCTGGACATCTCCCAGCACCACCTCCCTGAAATTGAAGACAAATCAGAAGTTGTCTTTCAAACTCTGCATAACCTGGGAAAAAATAACTGCAACTATTAGCCTCATGTCACCAGGAAAATGTAGTGTTTGCTGTAGAATCCTTTTGTGAAATGTCACTACACACAGATGGTTACACAAATGCTCAACTACCTGGGAGTCAATTAGTAATCCTGTGACCTCACCTGATTTTATATGTCCTTGAGTTTTCAGGACAATTTTTTTTTTATCAATATTGATGCTGTTATTAAAAACACTGCAATTTCTATGTTACTGACATTATTAATATTAATATAAGATAAAAATATATAATCCAAAAATTGAGGAAAAGGGTAAACAGATGAGATACTTAGTACTAATAACTGGCTCATTTGTGATTTAGTACTTGTGGAACCCTCTATGAGTAAAAAAAAAAGCACAGTGGGCATGGCATGCACATACATGCTATCTCCTGGGGCATCAGGCTAAATACATATAAAGAAACTTTATGAAAAAAGAAAGGAATAAAGAAAAATAGGGGAAAAAAATATCTAAATTTATATATGGCATATCTCTATATGTCTATAAATATCCATCTATCCATCTATCTATCATACATAAATATATTAACCCATTGAATCCGAGTGAGGCCCCTGTCACTTTAGGGGGGGGGGGGGCAATGGCACCTATAATGAAGGTAAACCTTCCAAATTTTAATATTTTTATAAATTTTAGCAAAATAAAAGCTTTTAGGTGCTAAATGTCGCTCGCAAACTACTGATCGAACCGGGAGCAAACAGGGGAAACTGCCGATGCGCGCCAACAAGCCCGTGCATACGCCCACTTGCCAAAATTTTTACCCGTAGGCGATGGGTTAACAGCCTATATAAATTTTTACAATTACTTTGGAAATCTTTCCATATATACAGACTGATTCTCATCACTTTTGCTGGAAAATAACCACAAAATAAAGCTTTACATGCTCAAGCCAGGAACCTTTTCAATCTCAAACATATTTATTAACAGTTACTTCCCATTTTTTTTTTTTTTTTTTTTTTTTTTTTTGCGTGTTCTTGATATATTTCACGCACTCCTGGGTAGGCTTCAGAATCTTCATTTAAAAGTATCCCTTACTGTCAAACTCTTTGTGAATTTTTAAAAGTGCCATTTCCCCAAGATTATTTAAAAAATGAAATATTTTTCTTTTGCTTGGATATTATAGCAATCTCGGAGAAACTCACAGTATAACTTTATTACATGGTTATAAATTTGGTGAATAGTCTGAAGACGTCAATAATGTAAAAAACATGACAAAACAGAGAAAGCAAAGGGAAACCATATGATTACTCATCCGCACTGATCAATGATTGAAACCAGTGGAAAATATGGAGCTTTAAATGAAAATATTTGGCCTACTAACCACCAAACATAAGTTTTCCTATCAGTAATTCCAAAATACTGAATTTCTACTAGAATACTTTTCATTTTTTCATTTTCTTTCATATCAAACAAATCGTTCATATACTGAGTCAAAAAATTATTCAAAGATTCTGTCCTTCACTTCCTCAGAAAGAAGGGCCCCACACTGGGACTCAATTCTAGGAATTGCAACTATGAAAATGGGTTACCCTTGGATACTGGCTTACTCCAAGGAACCCATTCCTGGCAAGCAAAATTTCCAGTAAAGTTTCACAAGGTCAGGGCACAGTGCACACTACTCCACCCCTGGGTTGTCATCTGGCTCATGCCAAGGCTC